CCTCCTCTTTCTCTCCCTAAACGAAAGACCGTTAGCTGTTGGTCCCAAGCGCGTTTTGGAGAAGTTCAAAAGACTCCTGAGGAGCAGACCTGAATCGTCACAAGGAGGGAACCGATGAGGGCTCCGCCGTCCTCCTCGGGCGGAAGTGCCCGCGACGACCCGGAGCCCCTGGACTACACTTCCCAGAATTCCGCGGGGAAAAACGTAAACAGTCGTCTTTACGGCCGCTGAAGCATGTGAGACTACACGGAGCTCTGGACTACACTTCCCAGAATTCCGCGGGGAAAAACGTAAACAGTCGTCTTTACGGCCGCTGAAGCATGTGAGACTACACCGAGCTCTGGACTACATGTCACAGAATGCTAGAGGCGAGAAAGACTGGCAACAGCACCTCCCTTCTAGACTACACCTCCCAAACGTCTGAGCAGAAAACGCCAAAGCGGGTCCTCTGATGCGCAAGTGGCCGATAATCCTGAACTCCTGGTGTTCGCCTCCCAGAATCTCTGAGGTCTGCCTTGGAAAAGCACAGACTGTGTTCATTGTTAAGTCCGACTAGCTGAGTAGCACTTTAGACATCGCGATGGTCTGAATGTTTGTGTCACCCCCAAAATTAATATGTTGAAATCCTGACCCCAAGGTAATGGTATTAGGAGGCGGGGCCTTTGGGAGCCGATTAGATCGTGAGGCAGATCCCTCCTGAATAGGATTAATGCTCTCATAAAAGTGGCCTGCTGGAGCACATTTCCTCTTTCAGCTATGTGAGGATACAGTAGCCAGAAGGCAAAGCAGGCCCTCATTAGGCACCGAATCTGCTGGCACCTTCACCTTGTTTTTTTCTTATAGCAACCCCAATGTACTATTACAGATGTGTTCAAAGGGTGTAAGCGACATAAGTCTATTGCCTGTCACCGACGCTTCTTGGTAAACCCCAAAGGCCTTCACCATGGGAGTAAGGGCAAAAGAACTGGGCATTCTTTGGTAGGAGCAGAAACCCATTGTCAAATCCTTGAAACTGCATGTGGTGGATGTGTTTTGTTAGTATCTTCTGGCCCTCACAAAAGCAAATGAAAATCATACCATCACCCTAAGCCTCAAATTATTTCTATAATTTTAAAATTTGTGACATTAATATTTGGCCAAGTGAACTTTAAGAAAAAAGCATTACTTGACACACAGGAACACTTCATAATGATAAAAGTTTCAAGTTATCATAAACTAATGAGTTCATATTTTATAAAGCAAAAATTGGCAGAACCATATAAAAAGAAACTCACATGTATAGAGGGAAAAACTGAGCCGTAAAAGGCATATGTTAAAATAGAAGGGAAGCTGCAAATCAATTAGGAAAACATCCATCTCAGTAAGTTAATAAGTGAATAACAAGACCAAAAAAGCAGATGGGAGAAAAATAATTAAAAGTAGATTAATAAAATATAAAATAAAAAAATTAAATGTATTATCTCCCCACCCCTACCCCCCCCAAAAAAAGATCAACCCATGGATAAAACCATAAAATTGATAAACTCTGGTAAGAATAACCAAGAAAAAAAAAAGATATGAAAAATTGCCAAGGTCATAAATAAAAAGAACATCACTGAAAATTATAAGAGGATATTTGAACAATTGTATAATAATTTTTTGTAAATTTAGATGAAAACCATATATTTCTAGACAAAAACAAACAGAATTTGTAGTGGATTGAATTATGTCCCCCCCAAACTCACTGGAAATTGAATGGTATTACCCAAGTTTTATGTATAAGAAACTTGGCCCACACTGTGACTGTTAAGAGGGTGGGAAATCCTATTATGGTAATTGAAAGGTGGAGCCTTGAAGAGGTGATTAGATTGTAGGACCACACTGTAGTGAATGGATTAAAAATGGTGGCCAGGGTTGTGGTTCTGAGGGCTTTAAAAAGAGAGTGAATGGGATTAGTCTCTCTCTGCTCTCTCTGCTTCTACCATCTTGCAATGTGAGACCCCTGGGTTAATGTCACCACCACCAGATGGGCTTTGGAATTCCCAGCCTCAGAAACTGTAAGCAATAAATGTTGTTTTTCTCTATAAATAACCCAGTTTCAGGTATTCTGTTATAAGCAACAGAAACGGACTAATACAGAATTGAAATACATTTAAATAACAAACGTAATACTTAATGATTAAAGGATGGAAACTTCACCTTTGAGATTGGGAATGAGAAGAGAATGCTGAGTGATATCCACTTCTAATCAAATTGTACAGGAACTTATATCTTGCCAAATTCACCCATTAATTTTAATAAATTTTATGTACATTCTTTTGGATTTTCTATACATGTAATCATGTCAATTATAAACAATTACAATTTTATTTCTTCTTTTCCAACATGTACACCTTCTATATATTTTTCTTTCCTACTTGCACTGGCTAGGACCAGATATTTGCTAGCCCATTCTCAAGTTCTTTTTTTTTTTTCTTGAATATTTTAAAGCAAATTCCAGATCTGTCATTTCACATGTAAACACTTTAGTATTCATCTCTTACTGATGGAAACATTTTTTAAAGCCTAAACACATGACACAATTATCCATTTAAGAAAAGCAAAAATACGTATTACCAACTTATACCCAAGCCCCGTTAAAAATTTCTCAATTGTCTTAAAGATATCTACTTAGAACAATTTTTTTGAATCCAGATCTAAAAAAAAAGATTCACACACTTAATTGGTTATGATTATTAAGTGTTATTAATTCTACAGCAGTACTCTCTTCCTTTTCATTGTATGTCCTTAAACTCGTGGAAAATCACATCATTTCCCCTAAACATCATAGTTCTGATTTGGCTGATTGTATCTACAATATTGAAAACTATATGCCAATAATTACAGGTGACTTTAATGTATTTATGTTCCAAACTCTGTGGAAAACACCCTCCAAGAGTTATGCTATGGACTCAGAATTTCTTTCCACTACAAGTAAATTGAAATCCTGAATACAGTAGGATAAAATATAACAATTTATAATATTTATTTACTCACCTTCTTTTCCCTATGGCACCTCCACTCCCTCCGCTACTCATAAGCAATAATTGTAATTTGTTTGATTTGTTTCCTTTTGGGTATGTCCTTGTGCAAATCTGTGCAGTGTGTGTACATATTTTTAAATTTACATAAATGATATTGTGTCATAACATTCATTCTGGTATTTGCTTTCTTCATTTAGGTGTGCATTTTTAAGATTTGTCCATCCAGGACTAGCCAATTAGCTCAGTTAGTTAGAGGGTGATGTTAGAACACCAAGGTCAAGGGTTCAGATCCCCATTGCAGCCAGACCACACACACACACAAACACACACACACACACACGCACGCACACACACACACACAAAGATTTATCCTTCCATCTGTTTATAGAACTCCATTTTCTGTAACCACAACATTTTACCTATCTACATTTCCCATTGCCATTGCCAATAATAATGAAATGAACATCTTCATACATGTCTGCTAATGGACTTATGTGAGAATTTCTTCAGAGTACATACCCAAGAGTGAAATTGTTTCACAATATATGTGGATACTTCAATTTAATAATATTATCCAGAGTGTCATCCCAAATGGCTAAACAATCCCACATTACCAACAACTGCATATGAGGTATTTTGTGTAATCACCTCCCCACCTTCATTTGGATGACTCATCGCTCTAAATTTTGCTAGCGTTTTACATGTACAGTAATATTTTGTTGTTTCAATTAAGTTTCTCTAATTTCTAATAAGTCTGATCATTTCTTCAAATGCTCAGTAGCCTCAGCTTTAAATCTCTATTATACTCTTTGTCCCACTTTATATTGTGGATACTATCTTTTTCCTTCTCATTTGCATTTGCATTTCTGATTAGTAATAGTTCGTCAGCTTTAGAAATTACAAATGTCCTTTCCTAATAGAGCACACAGTTTTTAAGTGTGTCAACTGTGTCCTTCACTAAATGCAAACCTTTAATTATAAGATAATAAAAGCACTATTTTTTTCTTAATTACTATGCTTTTGAAAATCCTAAGGTAAAAATACATCTTTGTCCCTTTCTAAAATTAACCTTCTAAGACTTCCAATCAAGATGGTGGAACAGACGGTCACCAGCGTCACCCTCTCCCACAATCAACCAATTTCCAATTATGAAAAAGCAATGAACTGCCAAGCTGGGGCCACTAGAGCTCGAGGTAAGAGAAGAGACCTATGAGTTCATGAAGGCAAGAGAAGCCACGATGTGTGAAAGAAAGAACCACTCTGACCATTTCAAACCCTGGCCATTTCAAGCCTGGCCCTGGTAAGCACATGGAGCAAGAGCTGGCAAAAGGTACAGCTGTGCCCTTTGTATGAAGTTGCTTGGAGGCTGCAGGAGAGAGGGCCTTGTAATTCCCAGGCCAGCAAGACTACCAACAGTGTTCTCGTGGACCCACATAGGAGCAAGGGGCCACAGACAATGGAAAAAAGAAGCCACTCAGAGGCCAGTGAATCCTCACAGGGACCAGCTCGTGGCCCACCCCATGGGAAGTGTTTGGAGTGCAGGTGGTAGGGGAGATGGGCCCATCAGGGGAACACTGGGGCACAGCATGGACAGCTGATCTGCCCTC